GAGTTTTAAAAGCACAAATCTATTGGCAGTATTTACACGGTTGCCACAGTAGGCGGGATTCTAAAATGATCCCCAAGGACCCGTGATCTTGTAGATCCCCCTCCATTTGGAGCGTGGGAGGAAGCTACGGATACGATGGGCTGTTGTCAAAAGGCAAAGCTGACTTTGAGAAAGGGAGGTCATCCTTGGGAGGCCTGACCTCAGATGAGGTCTGCACAGGGATAGGCGCCCTTTCTGGAGAAAGAGATCGGAAGCACTACAATCAACATGCAAAAACTTCTCCATTGCTGGTTAGAAGGTGGAAGGTAACACATGGTAGAAATGGCAGATGGCTTCTAGAAGCTTCTAACAAGCCCTGGCTTACAGCCAGAATAAAAGATGAGACTTCAGCCCTACAACCACATAGAAGGACTTGGCTTCTGCCCAAACTTGAATGAGCTTGGAAGAGGATTTCTACTCAGAGCCTTCAGATAAGAACGCCACCTGGCCAACAGGTCAGAAGCCCACCTGGAGATAATAAATGGGTGTTGTTTTAAGCCTCTAAGTTTGTGGAAATTCGTTATGCAGCAATAGAAATCAGATTGGGTTGGCGTGGGGAGGAACTGCAAGCTATTTAGGAGACGAAAAATTTAGTCTATATTAAAGTAAATTAATAACTAAACGAAAGAGGTTGCAATAAAAATAAAGAGGACGGATGGGAGAAATATCAAAGAGATAGCCTCTATATGACTTAGCAATGAACTTGATACGGTGGTCAGAGAGAAGGAGCCGATGAATACAACTCTTACCCTTGGAACCTGGATGGCTGAAAGGACAAGGGTGCCATTCATGTGAGTTTGGAAACCAAGAATATGATCAGGTGTGGATAATCAGTTTCATTTTAGACACACTGAATTTATGATGCCAGCAGGATATTCCCAGTTAATCAAAAACGGAAGGGTGAAATATTGTAGAGAAGATTAGAAATATTTGTGGAGTTCCTGAAAACTATTAATAAAATAAAAGTATGTAGCTCAAGTGTGTTAACTGAGGAAATAAGTGGAGAGAAAGATTGTTAGGAAGTTGGAAGGGCATGGCTGAAGAAAGGCCTCCCCCACCTCTGTGCAGGTGATGTTCTTATTCTGCCTGGAATACCCCATCTGAAATACTTCCGTAAAACCACCGACTTAACTTTTAAATCTCAGTTCAGCTTTCCTCTCCTCCATGCAGCGCAACCTACCTTACTCAGCCAGACAAAATTATCTTAGGGTTTCTTAAGTGGTGATTGTCTTATCTTCCCAGTAGACTAAGTTTTCAGAGAACAGGGACCGTTTTATTTTATCTCTGTATTGTCGACATGAAATTAAGTGTCAAGAAGACCAAATATTGAGTGAATGAAACAAAGATGGGAGTAATCAAAAAGACAGGAAGGTTAAAAACCAACCTAACGGGCACAATGAACACTGTGCAGGTGAGGGGCACACTAACAACCCTGAATTGAGCATTATAACAGCTATCTTGTAAAAAAATGTCTGTGATCCTTTAATATTTTGAAATAAAAAAAAGAAAGGAACCAGAACCCCACAACTTCTAATACAGCCTTACATGAGTATTCAATAATAAATGCTGATGGGAAATTTTTAGAAAATAAGTGTATATAGTGCTCGAGGATGCTAATAAAGACATAATTCACATACGTTCATACACACACATAGGATTTCATACTCAAACGTAGAGCTCAACCCAACAGAATCCACTAAAATTCCAAAGTTTTGTTTGCTGTTTTCAACTAAAGAAATGCCTTTCTTTAACTCTTCTTCTGTTTATGAAAATAGTCTAAATCGTAATAATGATAAGTGTTCTTTGATTCAGTAGTTGGCTGTTAATAGTAACACTTACTGTCTAACATAAAATAGGAAAATCCTATTATTTAAAAATTAAAACAACTTTTAGCTAATTAATCTGACACAAGAGAGAAATTAGATACAAGGCACTTATTCAATCAACATATTTAGCCCTGTTCCTCTTTCTGAAAAGCTGTGAATCCTCTATAAATCAAGGAACCCAGATGCTCAGACGGAATTATGAAGCTGTGTTTTATTTGGGGTGGGGGGCAAAGATGCAGCATTTTGAAACTATTTAATCCATCCAGATGTGGGATTCTGTAGCCTGTAAAAGAAACACTGTACTGCCGTCCTGAAGTATCCCAAGATGGCATCTCCAGGTGTCCTGATGAGGAAACTATTTCTTTCCAATTCAATTTGCTTTCAGTTCAATTCCCCAGGAGGTCACTCAGGGTCTGGCAGGGGTGCCATTTATTTGTCATTGTGGACGAGCTGCTGCTGTCTCCGTCCATTCCACCCATTGCCCCCTCTTCCTGCGTGTACGTGAGTTACAAATGAGCCACTTGAAGTCCAAGATTTGGCTCTACAAGTGTTTTCCAGTTTGTTGACTTCCATAAACAGATTCTCTTTTCTGGTCCTGCAATTACAGCTAAGAGTCCCTGCTAAGGATCATTCTACCTGCTTGACATCCCCTTGATACTTTGCTTATTCTGAATATAATGGGTGGTCACTAAAATATAAGGATGGGTACGGCCTGCCCTCTGCTATAGGCAAAAACAGACAAGCAAGTCTCCTAGGTCTCAGCTGACCCTTCTTACGCATTTGCTATGTGCTAGGCCCTATCTCTTGACATGGACTATCTAATATTCTTTACGGCAACCCTATGAGACAGACTCTACTATTTTATACTTATGGCTCAAATTTTTTAAAAATGGAGGCCCAGAGAGGGAAAGGCACAAAAGGAAGAGCTGAAGGCAGGCATTGTAGACACACTGTCGTCTTGACAACCTGCAAATGAAGGAGTAAGCGGAGTACAGAATGGCAAATGTTGCAAAAGAAACATCCACTGAAGCTAAAGGGAGGGAAGTCTCAGGGATGGTTTCAAAGGAGAAAACGATGAATGTTTGGTAACGAGCGCTGGAGCTGGGGGAGGCCAGAACTGTATATTTAAAGGTCAGAGGTGACCACCAAAGCAGCGGGAGGAAAGGAGAAGTTTCTTCTCCACTGGGTGTTCTCCCCGGGCGGAGTGTAAAGATAGGAGGAGCATTTGAGGCAGGCCTAGAAAGAGGAGGCAACCCAGAAAACCGGGAGCAGAAAGGAATGGAAAAACAACCGAAGATTCACAGGGAAAAATCAGAGAGTGACTATTGACTTTTGCCATTGGGCCTTCATTATTAATCGCAAGAGCTATTGTGTTCTCTGTGCCAGGCACAGATCAAACACATGGTCTCATTCAGTCCTCACCCCACTCTTGAAGTGTGCGTCATTATCTGCAGAACTGTCCCCGGGTGGCTAAGGGCAAAACCCAAACCACAGTGGGTTGAGAAGTGCCTGAGTGGGGGGAACGTCGTCTGCATTCGGGATAAATTTGGGACAGAAACGGACCGAGCACCTGCTAAAGGCTGGTCAGTGTGCCCGTCACTCTAGCACTGGTTCCTGATGTCACCCAAACAACCCCCTAAAAGGAATGTGTTGTGCACCACCAAAGAAGAAAGCCAGATCTGGAGACTCCACGTGACCCCCAAGCCCATCTTCTTTCCAACAAAGCCCCCTGCCCCGCGGAAGGAACAGACGCTGCCACAGACGTTTCCTGAGCGTTTCACTGCATCTGCCCAAGGAACCGCGCTAAGAACACGCACATGGAAACTTCAGTTTAGAGGACAGTTTCATCATTGATAATGCGGTGATCAAGGGCCTGAGGCCAGAAATCAGACTCTGCGTGTGGCGCTCAGCTCTGCCAGCTGCTGTTGCCTCAGTTTCCTTGTCTGTAAAACGGGCTTTGTCGTGAGAATGTGTTGAAGACAATACATGCGACACGTAAAGAACACGGGGTGTCTGAGTGTGAGGTGAAATGCTAGCTAGTGGTTTAACCTCTACTGCAAAGCCAAGGAAAGAGAGAATGAGGAAGGGTATCAGAGCCAGCAGCTCTGAGAGCCTGCTCTGAACTGGGGGGTCTTCAGACACCCCGCTGTTTCGCCCCCTCCGCGCCATCCCACAGAGACGGCCCTGGAGGGACTGGGGGGCGCGTGTTGGGGGCGCGTTTACTTTCTCTGTGTGTTTAACGCGCCGCTGGCTCGCACCTGTTCCTCTGCGGGGAGAAGGTGCGGGCGCGGAGGGCAGGTGCGCAGGGTGCGCGCTCGGACGGGGCAGGTGCAGGAGACCCAGGAAGGGAGGCCAGACGCTGTTCACGTCGTGATCATGTTTGGAATCAGAAGAGGAAAAAAAAAAAAGCCAAGAGGAAGCTCGTCTGCTTTGCTCTCCCTCCTCCCAGCCAGAGCACAGCCGCCGCTCTCCATTAAAAAATAAATAAGGGAGGCCGCCCCTCCCACCGTTTCTTTCGCCCTGGAGCTTCTCCTTTCCCCTTCCCGTCCCCGGCCACCCCCACGCCGCGTCCCCTCCCCCGCGGGCGCCCCGGTCCCTCCCCCTGCGGGCGCTGCCCGGGCGCGAGGGCGAGGCTGGCTGCGCGCATCGGCCGGGGGCGAAGGAACCGCGTCGGAGCGTGTCTCCGTCCCTCCCTCCGTCCCTGTCTCTCGCGCACACGCGCACACACATGCACACACGCACACGCACGCACACACATGCACACACACTCAGCCCCGCCGCCGCCGCCGCAGTCCCTGCCACGGCCGACCCAGCGCGCTCCGGCCGCGGCGCACGCCCGGCTCCGACGCGGCGCTAGTGCTCGTCCCAGCGCGGCCCCCGCGCCCGGCCGTTCCCAGAAATAAAGCGGCGGGGGCGGCGGAGACAGATCCACGCACGCCCGGCCCGCGGCTGCCTCCCGGCGTCCGCGTGGAGACGGTGCCACCTGCCAGCGTGCGCTCGGCGGCGCGGACGCGCGGCTCGGCGCTGTGCTGTCCCGGCGGAGTCCGGGCCCCCCGCGCCCTCGCCCCGGCTGCTCCGAAGTTCGAGCCCCGGCTCCGCCGCGGGCCCGTCGCGCCTCGGAGTGTCCCCCTCGCCATGGCCCGGGCGCGCGGGCTGCTCCGTCTGTGGCTGGGCTGCTTCTGCCTGAGCCTGGCGCAGGGGGAGCGGCTGCGGCAGCATGTCCCGGAGCTGCTCAGAGCCGGGCAGGCAGGCAGGGGCGCGACCCCGGAGCCGCAGCCCCGGGACACGGCGTCGGAGCACATGCTGCGGCTCTACGACAGCTACGGCGGCGCCGGCGTCCGGGGCGCGCGGCCCCTGCGCCCCCGGGCGCTGCGCGGAGGCAACACGGTTCGCAGCTTCCGAGCCGGAGCAGCGGGTGAGTGCGCGACGCGACCCCCGCCGGTCCCGCAATCCCGCCCCGGGACCCCGCCGCTTCCTCGCCCGCCCCCTGCTCCGATGCGCTGCTCGGGGACCCTTCCCCGCCCGGGCCCCTGCGACCCGTCACACCCGGCGTCTCCCCAGCTGAGTCTCAGCCTTGGTTTGGGACCTGCGGCGAGAGGGACAAGGGGAGAGCAGGGCGCGGAGCGGAGGAGGGGAGCGGCGGGAGGGACGGTGGGGAAGAAGGGAAGGGGGGACCCGCGCGCCCTGGGGTGTCTGGAGCAGCTCTGGGGTGCCTCCTGCTGCCGATTCCTAAACGGGCCGGCGGAAATTCCCGTGCGCTGCGCTTTAGCCACGTTTCCCAGGAGGGCAGTGCCGTGTCATGCCAACCCCGGGCCCCAGGGAGAAGTGAGACTAGCTAGAAGCCTCTCCCTCGCCTTTTAGATGCTCGCCCCCAGGAGCTGGATCTCGCACTGGCTCTCCACCCGCGCCCTTTTTGTTGCTATAACTGACACGTTCCACCGGAGAGTTTTCCTTGGTGGCAAGAACACCAACAAAACCAGGTGCTTCGGTGTTTGGATTATTTAAAACCCGTCTGGGCAAATAGAGGTTGCACCATCCGTCCTGGGAGGAGCTGGGAGAGGGGGAGGGAGCAGCCGGCCACGGACGCAAACACCTGGTGGGATCTGCCCAGAGAATCTGCTCGTCCCGGTTTTCAGCGCAGGTCACTTAGCAGGGTTTCTCCCAGCCCTGCAGTGAAGCAAGCAACTTGTGCTAACAGCCTCCCTCCCTCGTGCTAACAGCTTAAGGGAAAGTTTTCCTGGATGCTAACTCTTGTTTATATGCTTTGAAGGTGGACCAGGCATTTTCGTCCACTGCATTCATGATAAAGGGAAATGTGACTGCAAAGCCTGTTGAAAAATAGCCAAAAATCTTTAAGGAAGGACACCATGCCCTGATCAATTCTGTCAGAATCACTAGAAAGAAATCTCCCAACACTTTGATATGTAGGAGTCCTGGAAAAGAGGAAAACTAAAGCATCCATCAAGGAAAACCCTAGGCTGACACTGTAAATGCACCCTAGGGCTCAGAGGTATGATGACATTCACAATAAATGTGAATTACACTTTCTAACGTAGAAGTCTTTAGCCAGGGTCTGAACTGAACCAGATCCCGCTTTCTTCTGAAAGCCACGCTCGGTGATCTGTCAGGAGCTAAGGAAACAGAAACCTGCTCTGAGCCTCCCAGCCCCTGGAGGAGGCTGTCCTGACAGCTGACGACAGCCCTGAATGCTTTGTTTACATTCGCGTAACCCTGGGTAGCCATGTGGTTGTAACAGAGATTGGAAGAAGGTTGGGTGGCCAAGGCAGGTGGCAACAATGAAGATACTCAAATCACTCTTACCTTGATGTTCATTTTCTTGATTATTATATTCCTTAGGGAACAGCTGAGGCACCCAAGAGCCCACAAGTTTTGCTTATCACATGAACCACTTGGTTTGAGGTGGAATTTGAGTTTATTTCATTCACATATTGTATAGCATTTGTTTTAGGCTATGGAACCACAGAGAAGGATTTGGATAACTCAGGCACCGTACACTGTTTGGCTTCCACTCATTCCTTGCGTTATAATTTCAGTGTGTCCCTTGTCAGCCCCACTGTAGTCTTAAAGCGTCAAATGATAAACTCTGACACGGAGGCCGGACGTTCCCCCGAAATGATGAATTGCAGCTTGGTGCATATATACAAGGCTGTGAGCTCTGATAAGAAAAGTAACCCCTGTAGCATCCTACGGACTGTCTCAATGACTTGTTCGTCAAACGTAGACGCTGGTTTTTGTGGAAGCTTAAGCGTCGTGTTACCTCACTGGAGACTCCTGGAGAGGTGGTCCGTGTTGGCCCCCTTCCAAGAGCGCTTGGTTACGAACACACTAAAAGACTTTATTATAAGGCGGTTCTGGCTCTAAGAAGGCAGGACTCCGGGAGGGTGCTAAGGTCGTCATGTGTGTCCCTCTCCTGTCACACACACCAGCATTTCCTAACACCCTTCCCCTTGTGACATATGGTCTGATGTAGCTGAAAGATGCTGTCTGCATTAATAAATCGATACGTTTTCCAGTCCAAAGTGTTTAAGTTTCACAACACGTAGGTTTCTCTGCACCGAAGACGTTAAAGACTTTAGCGAAAGGTCAGGGGTTGTGCCGTCTGCGTGGAGTAGCTGCCCATCCCGCAGACGCAGGGTGCTCATCCAGGCTGAGGTATAGCCTCGGAGCCCTATTTGCTCCTTGGAACATACTTGATTAAAATTATTTATTGTTCTAAACCTAGAATATCTTTGGTTGAAACTTAGCTGCTGTGGTCTCCCTCTGATTACTTGCTACTTAAACCATTACTCGATGGTAGGTGGCATCCGTCCCAAATACACTTTCTGCTAACCCCTTTTCTCCTCTCTCAAGGCTATGCAGCTGGTGTGCCAAAACTGTAAGTTTGGAGCGCTTATAAGTTTTTTGCGATGTGGAAGGGTTTACGTAAAGATAGGTTTTATCTTTCCCTTTGTGAAAGGTAATTTACAAAAGTGTTGATGACAGAGAAGTTCAACCTTACAAAAACACACCATCGTGAAGGCAGACAGAAGGATTTGCAATCGGCTTTTATTTTACTCTTGGTTTAAGTTGTCTTTGGCTTCTATGTGATAAAATAAGAATATTTTACATGCGGTTTTCTCCTCCTTGATCTTTTAAGATAGATGATTTATGTTCGTTGTTTTCTCATCATTCCCATAGTCACTTAATCTTATTTTCCTTAATCATGTATGTAACTTCTTTAGGAAAAACGATTAAGACACAAGTGTTTTTATCAGGAAACTGTCACTGTTTGTGACATACAATTACAAAGAGGTTACGTTTCAGTGGGTATGCATTGCCTTTAAAAAAAAAATCTTACATATTTCATAGACTGAAAAAAAAATTGAGGCAATCCAAACCCAAAGTGAATACTTTCCTTCTCCGAGGAAGGACAGATTCTTTCCGACTATTCAAAGAACTTTAGAAATAAAGAATTATGATTTTCACGTATTTCTGAAGTACAAGGCTACAATATAAGGCTTTGGGGAAAATGGTATATGATTAAGGGCTGAAAGATTGCTCTCATAGAGGCCATTCCTGTAAAATACATGGACCAATGGGAAAGCGTCATTTTGGGAGGGTTTGATAGCAAGGAACTATAACAGCTCTACTAAAATGTAGTTACCATGAAACACCTACCACCTAGAGTAGACTTGACATTAAAAAGTACTTGGATTATCTGATGTCTTTATTTAAAGGACATCTGGAGAGGAAGAGCTGCACACGCAGCTGCTTCGAATTACATACACGATGGCCTTTAATGAACTTTTTTACTGTGACAGTCAACACAGCTCTATAATCTCTGCCATTTAAAAATACATAATACCATGAATTCTTGAATGTCTATGCTCATGAAAGGAGAAAGTGAACGCATTACATAAAAAGTAATTTAAATTTAGCTTTGTAGTATAGGTAGGAACACTTAAAGAGACCAAAAGACCATGGAGAATCGAGAAAAAAAAAATCCCCTAAGCAGATAATTCACACAAGGAGTATTTGCACATTAAAAATATATACATAATTAAGAATTGATTAGGAGGGTTACATACACTTTTGCCTAAGCAGTGGATTTTCAGAAGTACTTGATTGAATGGGTTCAGGTTTTTCTGAAAATTAGAGACATGAATATCTAATCTTTTTCATATTATATTTTATGTTAGAGAATTTTGTATTTGGAAGAGGTATTCAAGGACACAAGTACAGCTCCTTCTTTAATGAAAGCAGAAATGGGCATCGTGATTTATTTGCCAGACAGGTTTCCAAACATAATGAACTTATCTCCAAACCTGTTATTTCCAGTTACCCTGATCTAATTTTCAAGGAGAAAATTGGACAAAAAGAAGTCTTTGGAAGATGTTAACGGGTGATACATAAAATTGGTTTCCATGGTCAAGTAGGTTTGGAAAAAGTGATCAGTTTTCTTTGCAGTGTGACCTTTCAGGGCCTTTAAATGCTAATGAGTCCCCTTAAAAGGGACACTTTCTCCTGGAGAAAACATTTTAGAAAATTGTTGTTCTAAGATGTCCAGCCGGAAAACACTGGTTCGACTGAACACTGTTTCATTTCTCGTTTCCTATTTAGTACCTATCTCAGTGCAGTTACTTATATAAGCATATTATACTGGATGGACTTGGGTCCAGTTGCCATCATACCATCTTCCTGTTCTTATGTTATGAAACTTCTCTGAATGTAATTTTAGAGATTCTCTTTCATTAAATTTCATTTTCCCTGAATCTCTATGAGTTCTCCTTCATTGTTTTCTTCTATAAGATTAATGTTTATTATTTCACAACAGGTATTAATTATACTTTAAAAAGAAAAGCTACTTTGTGGAAAAACTTACTCAAGATCATGCATATCACTTTGTTAGTTTTATCACCATTAGTACGTTGACGAAAGACACATTTACTCAAGACATCTATCAAATCCCTTATATAATCCCTAATATTTGTTGTATTTAACAGATATAATAAAAAAATCATACTTACTAAAAAGCCTCATGAAAATTATTGAACAACTTGACATATATTTTCTATTGGCTAGTCAGGATTTTTGTGTTGCAATATTAGAACGTTTCTCCCAAAATTTTGATAGTTTTCCTGTTAAACGAATGTCCTAGTCAGCAGTTAGTGTCTTAATAACTTTATTTTGGTGAGAGTAGTGGAAAGAATCATAGTCTCACATTGAGCTTTCTAATGCCAAGTTTCAATTGAGTGAAATTTTATGATGTTATGAATCCATGAAAATAGAATTGTGATGGAAATATCGATATAGTATTAATCAAGTGACACAATTATACCAGGATAATTTCTACTCTGGACAGTAGCAAATGATGACAGTGTAACCAAAGAGCCCTTATGTATGGAGTATATTCAG